TGCAACAGGAATACCACTTGACCCAGCTATTCCCCTTCTAGGTATCCACTATATTATCTCCACGTCCACATTTACAGCAGCACAATTCCTCATAGCTAACTCTTGGAAGCATCTCAGACATCCATCCTCAGATGAATGGATGAAGAAAATGTATTTACATTACATACAGTGGAGTACTCCTCTGCCACGAAGAACAAACTTAAGCCATCTGTAGGAAAATGAATGGACCTTCAGACCATAATGTTAAGTGAAATAAATCAGACACCCAGGCTTAATGTAAATAAAGAGCAAAATAAAAGATAGATAATAGGCAGTCGGGAGATAGAACTTTCTCAGATTGGAAGGGGATGGAGAGATTGAGGGAGGCAAGGGGCAGGGGCTGAAGGGGAGCTGAGAGGTGTTAGGTACAGGTACCAACTCCTCCCAGAGAATGCAAACATGATGGACTGCAGACGTGTGCAGATAAACGCGAAAGCTGAGAAAATGAATAAAAAAATAAAACAAGCCCTTTGTACTTCCTACTAAGGCAGTACACTCCTGGCCCCCAGGGCCAAGGGTGTGGGCAGGGCACCTCCTGTCTCCTGGCGCTGGTCCCTGAGTTTTACCATGGCTACCCACACGGTGTGGCGCGTGGCTCTGGGGTTGCACTGTGGAGGCCCTGCTGCAGCTACTCCTCTACTAAACGTGCACGTTCCTCAGCACCACGCAGTCGCCAGCTCCTGTCAGTCCAGAGGTCAAACGTGAGCAGGAAGCCAACGTGAAGCTGAGTCACTCCTGCTCCGGGCAGTTCTGTGCACTGACAGCATGTCAGGACCCAGAAGACCTCAGGGGACCTCCCCACCAGTGTCAGTGCCTGAAGGCAGGCCTGGGCTCCACGTAGCAAACTCTCTTGGTTCCCTTCGGGATGGATGGAACTTCCTGCAGTGGGAAAACACCCCTGCAGGATTAAGAAGGCAGGGCATGGAAAGGTCAAATTAGGTGATGCCCGCCTGTGAGCCCAGCACAGAGGCTGAGGCAGGCTGGGTTGTTGCTCAGCAAGAAAACCCTGGTTAATCCTCAGGGGAGAGAAAGGCGGGAATGGGCGCAGGGAGAGAAAGAGCAGAGGAAAGAGGGGAGAGGGACCAGGCTGTGTTACTCACTACCTGAACTTACTGTTGGACTCCCCCTCCTTCGTCCCCTCTTCCTCCCTCCTGCTCTCCTCCCACCTGTGACCTCCTCCAGCTCCAGGTTCCCTGTACTGTGCCCGCCTCCTCTAGTCTGGCTCTGTTTCTGTCACACAGAATTTTTCCTTCCATGCCTTTGCTGCTGACAGGAAGTCAGAAAGCAAGCCGGGCCATGGTGCCACTGAAGGGACACTATGGGAGGTATCCCCAGTTTGAAAGCTTTGCCCCCAGGACCTCTGAATAGGACCTGTTTGGAACCTGTGCCCCTGGGGATGTCACTGAGTGGAGATATCTTGCTTTACGGAAATGGAGAAACTGGGACAAAGGCACAACATGGGGAGGACACTGTGCAGACAAGAAGCCATTCAGCTCACCACCTCAACAGGCCCAGAAATGGAACCAGCAGACCAGGGCAGTGCCCTTCACAGCCCTGGGTGCCCTGGCCTCCGACTTCTTCCTCTGGAACTGTGAGCAACTGCTGCGAAGTGGGCCAGGCCGAGGGTTTGCTTCAGGCAGCCCCAAGAATGATCCAGAAGGTGCCGTCTGGGCGGGGTCTGGTCACAGAAACCCTCTACACCTCAGCAGAACTCTGTCCTGGGGGAGAGCCACTGCAGGACAGGAGCCCGGCACTCTTGGGGTTAGCTCCGGCTGGTGGGGCTCAGCATCTTCTCCCTCTTTCTGCACTGCAGCTCCTGCCCACTCTCTGCCTCTGACCTCCAACCAACTAGGCCCAGAAAGGCTGTGCAGGGCACGGGCACCAGCATCCCTCACCTCCTGCAGGAGACATCTCTACATGCAGACCACTGCCCTGCTGAGCACCAGTGGGCCTCAGAGTCTTCCTCAACCCAAGAAGCCCTGTCCAAGGGCCAGCCAGATAGCTCAGCAGACTAAAGCACCTGCTTAGGCAGAGCACAGCAGCTGGGGTTCAATCCCCAGTGTGCTGTGCCAGCCCAGTCCCCCAGGGCACATTGAGATAGCAATTGAGACTGGGCTTAGTGGCACATGCCTGTAATCCTGGGACACTGAACAGAGATTTGCTACAAGTCCAGTCTATGTAGTGAGACCCTGTAGGCCCTGTAGGCCCTTAGACCCTGTAGGCCCTGTAGGCCCTGTAAGCCCTGTAGACCCTTAGGCCCTGTAGGCCTTGTAGGCCCTATAGACCCTGTAGGCCCTGTAGACCCTGTAGGCCCTGTAGGACCCTGTAGGCCCTGTAGGCCCTGTAGACCCTGTAGGCCCTGTAGGCCCTGTAGGCCCTGTAGACCCTGTAGATCCTGTAGGCCCTGTAAACCCTGTAGGCCCTGTAGACCCTGTAGGCCCTGTAGGCCCTGTAGGCCCTGTAGACCCTTAGGCCCTGTAGGCCTTGTAGGCCTTGTAGGCCCTATAGGCCTTGTA